AGCATTATCTCTGACTTGAAGGGCATCAGCATTTAAGTCTAAAGCTTTTTGCTTAAAAGGATGCAGTTTGAGAACTAGACACACAGCTCACAAGCAGTTTCTGAGTGGTTCTGTGTCTTGCTATCCCATCAAAACAGCCAAATGAATTTACACACCTCRTAGGTCTGAACTTGAAGCTTTGCTAGAACATAGGGTATGTTTACAAAATCTATGTTTTGATAAAATTTGAGCACCTAAACTCTACTCAGTATGTTATGAGTTGCTATCTGTCTGACTTCTTCTGAAGTCCTATTGACATCTACAGCCAGACACTCCTGTGACAGGTCTATCTGCAAGGCTACCTGCTTAGCATTCCTAGATCACATAAAATTTAGCCTCTGCTTAGAGTATTAAAGTTGGCATGTCAACAGTGCAGCCCTTTTTACCCAAGAGTTCAAGGCATTAACTAAATTAAATCCCATATATGAATTGTCTGGGCTGCCTGAGGAAAGTTGGCTCACTTCTTCCAAATGAATACCATTACTTTGAAGGCACGGCAGTAGTCCAAGGTAAAGAGAACAATCATGGTTCTTTTTACTGAACTATATTTTTGTGTGTTGACATACCAGGCCAAAGAGTACAGAGCTTTTGGCTCTCCATAGCAGTTGGACACTCCTACTCATTTTTTTCCACTAAATTCTTTACATTAAACTCTTCATTTTTTCCTGAAAGTATAGTGTAGCACTTAAAAATTTTTCATATTACATGCTTAGTTATTAGTATTAATATTGTCTCTTTGGGATGTTCAAAATTGGTAAAAGTTATAATAGGTAGAGATTCTGATTAGACTATGGTATTACTTGACCCTTGCACAGGGCTTCCTATTAGATTTTACTAATATGATTAACTAATATGCTTTACTGCTTTACTTAGAGGTTAAGCAAAGCGTAGGCATTGGGCTCTTGCACCAGACAGAATGAGTTGCATATAAATTACATTACCAATAATAAGTAGAAAAGTTTCCTTAACAAGATACAAATGCTTTAACAAAAATTCTTTCTGTCTGGGTATGTGACAGTTTCTGCATTAAAGAGGGCAAAGCCYGGGATCAGGAGATGCTTTGTAAAGCTGCATGCCATAAGGCTCTGTGCTGTCCAAGRGATGTTGATAGGCACGGAAAGTTACAGCTGCTAGTCTTAACCTGGAGCTTGAGCTGTAAAACACAAGCCGAATCCTTTGGTAGTCTCAGGGAATTAATTCATGTGTTCCAAGAACAGAATTAGCTTCTAATAATAGAAGTGTCATTAATATACCACAAAAAATGTCAGGTTTTTAGAGCTATCTTATTATAGCTCTTAAAAAAATCTTTTTAAAATATAAAATCAAAGTGATATTAGATATAAAAGATGTTAATTTAGCACTGGAGTGGGGTATAAAGTACCCAAAAGTCTAGTAATGAAAATGTTCCCATAGTAGACATAATCTCTTATCAGATTTCACAGATGACTTCTCTGTAAGCATTCAGGTTAATGTAATACAGTGAATGTGGTGAAAMCTACTGAGAAAATAGTTATGCAAGATGGATTAGTCTGTTTTATTGTGAGATTTGGAAACTATTTTTTTTTCTGTGACAGTTTATTGATTATAGTAAAATTTACTTAAATTCTTAGGATTAAGTCATAAAAATAATAGGATGTAATTTTTATGTTTCTGTATTCATTTTTCTTAGTTGTTCGCAATAATATAACTTCAATATAATGTAATTTGAGGAATTAGGTGCAAGGAAAGGATCTTAAGGAGTTTAACATTGTGTCATTGTCTATGAAGGAATTTCTCAGACAGATACAAGGTGTTGTGTAGGCTATAAGCTACATTACTCCCTATCCAGCATGGCGAGAAAAAAAAATAATTCATGCAAAGTAAGCTGCAAATCCTACTGTCTGTATTCTCAAACATGCAAAAAAAAWGAGTTAAGTTGACAATTATTGGATGAGTTATCTTTTACAAATACAATTAAAAATAAAAATTCTTCTCTTTGCTGTCTTGTTTCTGAGCTTTGCATTATAATTTGATAGTTTTAAAATCTGCTGTTGTCTTACTTTAGTTTCTGATAAAATCAGCTAAAAAATAGATGCTTTACTACATTAGGATTTCATTAATGTTGTTGCTGCAATGTTATTATTATTATGATTGTTATTATTATTTCAATGAAAGCAGACTATTTTGTAACAATTTTTAATTAGTTGTGTCTGTAATCTATCAGTTACCCCCAAAAATAAATTTTTTTCAATCATTATAATCCAATTTGAGAGGCTATATATCTACTAGGACCATTTTTTTAAACTTAAATTTGAAGAAACAAGCAATGCTGATGGTAAAATATACCAAATACATTGTTTTCACTGAAATTATATGGTAAAAAGGCAAGAAGGCAAGAATTTCTATGTTTATTTTCCAAGGGAACAAATGATCTTTGAAACATTGTAGGAATAAAGTTCTAAGTAAGGATGAAGTTCGGTAGTGAATATGCCACTGTGCATACAATAAACTGGGCACTTGACATAAATGTAGTGTTCTCGGAGGGCCTGTAAAGAAGATGGAAGGGGCCTTACTACCTGCTTTATTCTCTAGCTCTACCATAGAGAGAGAGGGAAATAGAGCAGTCAAATTAATTGGATTTGAATAGGACTCCTTTTACTTAAGATGAGTTTATTAATATTTAAGAAAATGGTTGTTTTTAAAAAGAAACTGAACTATGGATAAGCAAAATATCATTATTAGTGTACTTTCATTTTTTTTTCCAGTGTCATTGGCCTCTCGTGCAGGAAATAAAAGCTGAAAAAATATGGTAGAAACATGATGTAGTCCCACAGATGAGTATTCCAGTGTGGAGAGCAATAAGGAGATGTTTTCAATTTGGACATGTATCTAAAGCTAATCCCTGATTTTGAAATTGAACCAAGTATCCTTTGAGGATCATTTCTCATGTTTTTACCAATGCTTCTGGGTTCAAGCAGCTTGAAGATATTGTGAGAAAAACTTTTTCTCCAACAAAGTTGTTGCTTTTGTTAATAACAGATTGTTGAGAAGAAAGTACAGAGCCATGTAAAGAGTTCTTTGTGAGAAAGGATTTGTTAATTATTAAAAGGAGAGGTGTGGAAAAAAACTCAGCTTGGATTAAAGTCATTGTGAATTTAGRTGATTCAGTGAAGCATGCAGAGCTCAAGGTACTGAATCTCAGGGCTCTGTTCCAAAAGAGCATTTAAAGATTGGCTTAATATCAGCCTCTGGAATAATGCTGTAGAAGTTAAAGAAATTGTTCATATTCTTGAAGGTTCGTATGTATATTTCAGTACATTCTTAGTTTGACTTCTTAGTAYATTCAAGACTTAGCAATGAAGAAGTAATCATAAATAGATCAACAAGAAATAATATATTGATTTGCAGAGTTACTGTAAAAACTGGGCAAGGAAAAGATATGTATATATATACCAGTATGACCAGAAATGTAGTAGTGTCTTAGAATGCTGGCTAAAACAAAAGCAGTTTGCTGAGTGCTACTGCTGTTAAACTATTATTTATTTTCTTTTGTTTTTTGTCTACTTTCTCTCTGTTTTTCACATATAATACTGTGATCTTCTCAGATTCCTTTGAGTCACAAAGCTGTATTTTTAAAGAGGACACAAGAGTGCTCCCACATTTTTAATAAATGTAGTTATTTTTCTAATTTGTCATTCTGGAAAAGAGATTACTAAGTGGAAGCTGTGTCCCAATAACTTGGGAAGTTAGGGTACTGTTCCCTGAATTTTGGTACTAGCAAAAGCAGTAAGTCAGCTTGGTAGTGCTTGGGTAAACTCTAACAATAATCTATTTTTTGTAAGATATTTGCATGCCTAAACTGTTTGAAAGAACTCTTACAGRCACACAGCTGCCACTGAAGTTCCACTCTTCATTTTCATTTCAGTGCTTAAATGTGATAGAAATTTGTCTCTTTGGTCCGTTGAACTCTGTAGATATTTCTGTGCGCTTTAGGTAGTGGCCCAAATTGCAATCATGATGTTTATTATGATGCCAGAATCGCATTTCACAGTTGGAGTTCTGAAATCAGTCTTTAGGAGTGAAAATGGTTGCACAGAGTTAGTGGTTACCACCTAATTCTTCATGTTCTGCTTAAGACTTCAAAGCAAAAGTAGTATCTGGAGAGAACAACAGCCCAGATCTGACTGTCAGCCACGTAGAGCACTGAGCAGTTCCTGCTGATAGGCCACCAGATCTCTCTCTCTCTCTGCCATTACAGAATCTTTTCTTTATTGATAACTTCATAACCTTCTTTTCCTTGCCAGGTTGTGCAGTAACATATGTGCAACTAAATTCTGAATTTGCACTGAAGCAAGTCTGGTATAATAACTGACAGCAAGAAGTGCAGTGAAATCACTGTAGGATAAAGAAGTAAAAAAGCCTAAAGACTCTATTAGTAGAGACTGCTCTCTCAGTTATTACAGGATTAGTATTCATTTTTCTTATCTGGATTTTTTTGTGTAGGATTGGTATCAGCAGAGCATAGTATCAATTTTGAAAAGGAAATTAGCGTTTCCAAAAAAAAAGAGGGTTTTTTTTTTGTTCAAACTAAGGAAAAATGTTTGCATATTCTATATTTTTCCTAATACTACAACAATCTAATTTCTCATAATAAACTTCTTGGGCTATAATAGGAAAACTGCTCATTTAAACTTGCTTGCAGGGATTCCTAATGTAGATAATCTCTGAGTGTTGTGCATGTTTCATTACCTGGATTTTTATGCAAAGAGACAATTTATTCATKAGGTAGGCATTTTTTAATGAGGGAGAATACTGAACGCGAGTAAGACTGATCCCGTAATTTCTGCAATAATCTGGCATAGTTCTTTTGATGTTAGGAAATGTAACCAATTTATCCCAGTTGAGTCTGAGTCCCTTTTTTTCTAAGTTTTCTGTGTAATCCAATACTTGTTTAACACTTTTTCTTTCCTCCTTTCAATTAGGACCCCCACAAAGAACTATTTCTCCCAAACATGACCATGAAGAAAGGAAGCACGACAAAGTCTTGGACAAAGGCAGTGAAAGTGGGACTTCCTGCAATGAGTTGTCCACTTCGAGTTGYGACAGCCATTCAGAAGCTAGCACCCCTCAAGAAAATGCTGCTAGCACCCAGCAATCTACAGCCCACCAACCAAGTACTCTCACTTTGGATCGTCCATCCAAGAAGGCTCCAATGCAGTGGATGCCACCTCCAGACAAACGTAGGAACAGTGAACTCTTTCAAACTCTTATTAGCAAATCCAGAGAAACAAATCTTTCCAAAAAGAAGGTGTGTGAGAAGCTGAGCGTTGAGGAAGAGATGAGAAAATGTATCCAAGATTTTAAAAAAATCCACATTCCAGATTACTTTCCAGAGCGCAAACGTCCTTGGCAGTCTGAACTCTTACAGAAATATGGGTTATAGTAATCACCTCTTTCATGATGTATCTCTGTGGCATTTGATGTTCATTAATTTACCACTAACTTGCTGATGTCCTTCTCCTGGCTCACTCTGCCACCGGAACTATTCCTGCTGCTTATTTCTTTCTGTGAACAGTGGATGTTGGATAGTACCTGGTTTCTTTAAAATATATATAAGAAGATAGAAATCTAAAATGTACAAAAGATGGCTCATCTAAACCACCTCATAATAGTAAAGCAAAAAGTGCATGGTCAAGAAAGATGGTTTTCAAACTGTAGACAGACAAGCTTCATTGTCATTCTGGAACTTATCAAATAAAAATCTCAATCATCAGTTAACACCTCGTTTTATGTCACCAGTAAAAAGGACTCAGACTTGCGATGGATGAAGAGAAATAGGGTTTAAAAAGTGATTGAACTGTTTTCAGAACTAATTCCCAATGTTCTTTCAATGTTAATGCAATAAAGCAAATAACTATTTTGCATGAGCACAATGTTACAAATAAATCACACAAGAACAAGAGGTTGTCTGTTGCTTGGAGAATTATTTGTTTGAAACCAAGCCTATAAACGTAAAATGTCTAAGGGTTTGAATTTGCTTTGTTCTGGATCTGTGATTTTTTTGTGTGTACAGTGTTCTGTATGTAAAGATGGTGTAAATATGTCTTATACTGTTTTATTATTGCACCAACATTCATCTATTAGTGCGTGTGGAATTATTTCTGTGAAATGCAAATCTATGGCAGATTGTGAAAACYGGTTTGATGGTCTGAAAGTTTCTGTTATGTTAGTTGATAAAACTGGAGAAAAAATAAAAGAGACTATTGTATTTATTAAAGGAACCATCTCGTAGATTTTCTTGGTTATTATTGTCTCCGCTGTTTTTAAAAAATAGGCTTAAAAGTAAATTGTTACTTTTTATTTAATGTTTTTGTAACTACTGCTCTGCTGAAAAATAAAACYATGTTTGAAGACTGGATGAATAATATTTGGGGTAGTGCCATTTAACTAAAACTATAATACACTCTTAAGAGGAAGATCCTTTTAAGAGGAAGAGCTACATCAGAGTGCTAGCACACAAGCTAGCAATGATACAATCTCAAAAGTGTACTAAAAATGAGCAATTTCACTAAGAGTACTGAAAGCAGTTCAAATCTGACATGTTAACAAAAAGAATCATCTTAGAAATACAAAATTTAAAATATTACAGAAAAGGGCACTGCTCTTACAAATGGAAAATTTTCTATGAATAGTCAACTCAGTGATAATATTTGGTTTCTCAAAACTAGGTATAGAAATATCAATTCCTTTTTCATTATAATATCAACAATAGGAAGATGATTTTGGCTCAGGTAGTATACATGAAATGGATAAAGACTTTGGAGTTTGCAAGAGAGCTCTTGAGTTCTTACATATATTAAATAATTACTGTGTGCATATTGCACAAGAATTTACATACATAAATGTAAATCTATCTACAATAGAGAAGGGTTTATCTCCATAGGCATTCTATACTGGTAACTGCACTGATGTGGGAGTAGAGATGTTACTTTATTTCTGATGATAACTTTAACTGCTTTAGCTGAAATAAATAGTATTTCTTGTGTTTAATTCCCAAGATTTTTTCTTCTTATTATTTTATATATTTATATTTATTTATTTATGTCTTATTATTGTTATAAACCTTATTATGTTTCAGTCTTCTAACAGACCACTTTTTTTTATGAAAAAACTGCATACTTTTGATAGCAGGTCTGCTGCATCATTCACTTTTTTTTTTTTTTTTTTTTTGGTACTATCTGGCAAGAACTAATCATTCTTTCCTCTCTATTTAACCAGATTGTTCCAGCATTTCTTCTTTTGACAGTTTTTTCTTAATATATTTGAAAATGATATTTGATATTGAAAGAGTTTAACTTGAAGGAGTACATCTGGGATAAGCTAGTAGGTCTAGTGTGAATTGGTACAGTCCAGTGTGAAATCATTTGTCTTCTTTGCGCTACCCTCATCTTCCTTACTTGCTTTTCTCTTTGAGGTACAAACAACCTGTCCATTCTCTAAGGTTTACTGCTTCTTATACGCATCAGAAATTTCTTTCTTTTTTTTCTCTCTTTTTTTTTTTTTTTTTTAAATCTCTGGCTTTCGGATCTTTACAGGATGAAATTTTCAAGCGTTTAACACTAGGTTAATTACCTTCAGAGGTTAAATTACTGTTTTTATTTGGTGTGAAATTAGACTATAATTCTGAGCTTTTGAAAATCTCACACTGAATTTTCTTCTAGCCTTATGGATATGTGTCTTCATAGCACCTACTATAGATTATGCTGTTTTTCACTGCCTGTATTTAGTTTAAGTTTTCATCTTGAATGCTACCATTTAGATTGAGACCAATTCTTGAACCCATTAAACTTTGCCTTATAGTAAGGGGAAAATTTTGCCTTAGATATTTTCAGTATTCTGCTACCCAACTATGATATATTTATATTATATATATATATATATTTCTATGATACATTTATGTGAACAGGGTATCCATTTTATGTTTTGAAAAGCTCAACTTTTTATTCAGTTAACTAAACAAGTTTAGCTAGTTTTTAGTGGAGGTGGTCAGTACATAAAAATTCAGTTTATATTCTTAAAACATATTTTTGTGGAAAGGAAAGAAAGATCTGAAAGGAAAGAAAGAAAGTACTGTGATTTGCCAATTTGCCATTAGAAAATTATCATGAAAAATAAATATATTTGGTATTTTTCAATATTTCGGTTGTGATTTTTACATTAATTTATAATCTTATAAGGTTGTATTTTACCATTAGCTGACATGCTTAATTTAGTGTAAATTGGTTTTTGCCAGTACTTGATATTATAAATTATAATTTGTAATTGATACATWAAATTAAGATTAAACATAAATTATTTAACATGTAGATTAAGTATATTTATAGAAAAGAAAAAGATAATTCTGCAACAACATGATCCCATAAATAATGATGGTATCAAGAATTTAACATGTAGAAATATCTGTCTTAACATTTTCGGCCTAGTTTAATTCTTTTTTTTTTTCTTTTTTGTTATTTTTAACAGTGTGGAAACTTAGCAGTGTGGAAGTTACTTTCTAGTCTCTATTTGAAGAATTTGMACTGTTTTATAAAAACAAAACAGACTTTTCTTCAGTAATATCCCTAACTGAGCTAAGATACCACAAGGGTAAGGTATCAGAATCAGCTGCAAAAATACTGTTATCATTGCCAATGCTTACTCATTACAAAAATTAATTTTAAGTTCACAGAATGTGAACTAATAGCTTAATATAGCTTGTTGTTCTAACTGAACAGATTGAAAATAGTGATACAGTTTGGCCACATAAAGATGCTTACACTTTTAAAATATATATGCAAGCACATAATCACATGGGTAGTTAATTACTCTGTTGCTGAAGGAATATATGAGCATTCTTTCATTAACTTAAATGTACAAGGCTTGGATTTGATTTTTTTTTATTCATTTGCTATAAGAAAAATCTGTCAGACAAAKTAGATGAGGAAAGCTGTTTTGACAAATGTCGAAAGTGCTCATAATATTACAACTGAGCAAGTATCTTGAAATTATCTCTGAAATACAATTTTAGAATTCACTTTGATGAACTTAAGCATTATTATTACTTTTTGCCATGGGCAGCACGTACTATATGAGTGATCTCATTCAAGGAATTATTTATAAAAAGTGAAGCTGTTTGAAGCTAGAGAAGTTCTATCAAATACTTCCTCTTACTTTCCATTCCCTCCCTAATTTTGTGATAATACTTAAAAAAAGAAACAAATAGTGCTTAGACAAAATGACATGGTATTTTAAAGCTACTGTTGAAGCTGCTGTTGTTCAAGGAAAGATATCCAAACAAACTTCCTACTGAAGGTGCAAAAGAGTCTCCTTCTTTGGAGATCTTCTAAAACCCTGGATGATGCGACCCTGTGCCACATGATCTAGGTGTCCCTCCTTGAACAGGGAGGTTGGACTAGGTGATCACAAGAGGTCCCTTCCAACCTCAACCGTTCTGTGATTCTGTGTGATTCTGTCACATATTTGGTAAACAGAGAGCAAAACTCAAGTCCTAAACCCAAGGAGTGTTCAGAAATCCTCAAGAAGCCCTTAGCTTTTAACAGAATCACACCAGTGATGTGGCTCAACATAAAAACTGCATTCACACATGTCTTCAGTAGGCCATTRAGTAGTAGTATTTATTCTAGGATCTGTTACTGAGAAGTAATTTTTGTCCCATTTCACATTTTCTGTACTATTYCTCTTGGTTCTAGTTACTATAGACATTCTTATAATTACTTTTTTATTTAAGAACTTCTCTGAATTCCCATAACCAAATTTAGAAAGAATTACAGCAGGATTCCCATGAGAAAGTGTTGAGAAGAGTTGGACACATGGGGAGTATTGCTGGTTTGAATAGCCCCAGCATTACTGTCAAGATGTTATAAAGCACAAGCTACAAGGCAGAGTCAGGTGTGTTGTCCTACCTGTTGTGCGCTCTTTCAGACTAGCAGGCATCAAGCACCCTTTGAAATTCCAATCTTTCTTCAAAAATTGACTCTATATTCCTTTATATACAGCAAAAGGGAGCACAGAAATGGTTTGACAGGATTAGTCTCGAGACACTAAATTATATAATCTTGATGATCTTCTAATACTGAGCATGTTAAGTGCTTCTCTTACACTGCAGTGCAATTCTTAGCAAGAATTCATCTAAGAATAGATGAGTACCAGTAACAAGAACTAAATTAAATTAACATAAAAAGAAGGGAGATCACAAATAGACAATAAACAGTCTTCACACATTCTGAAGCAACACTTAATGTTGAAATATTATCACTTTATCTACTAGCTGTTTAACTTGAATGTCATTCATTAATTTAATATTGAGCAAATCTTAATGTGCCAATCAGGCTTAATGACAGACCTTTTTCTTCATAAATGTATACCAGGCATACTCAATGTAAACTGTGACTGCGGGCAGCACCAGATAAAATCCCTGCCAGACTGCTAGTTTTGCCTAGGATGGAGGGTGGAAACCATCAATCAATGCGTTTATTGCTTTTTATTTCCATTTCTCTCCCTATTTATGTGAATTTTGTTTTTTCATGTCATGTCAGTTTTCTGTTGAAGGCAATATAAGTTTCAATGCAGCACAAAACAGTCATGGACACTTTCACTCTGGCTTTTTTTGATCCCACACGAAATTTACACCTACTTTTGATTCACATTATATTAGTAAACCTCTGATATCAGCAGTTGAGATGACAGTAGTGATAAAACAACTACAATTGTACAATATGCATTGGGTGCTTGATGCAAAGAAATAAACTTAAAGAAGAGAGAGCTGAAAATAATCATCCATATCATTRTGGATTTGGAGGTATCCAAAAAGGTTACAAATCCCTGCCCCTCTGGACCACCATGTGTTGCTCATCTCTCCAGATATGAGGGTGTGAATGTTCTTCCTTGGTTCAAAGTTTGGGTTCAGCATCTTGCTGACCTAARCCCAGTTTTAAGGAAAAATATTACTCATTCGCAGGTTTTATGATGCTAGTCCGAAATACTGGCAAGTATCTTGGCTGAGCTGAGGACAATCATTTCAAACATGTCTCATTACTCTCCCTGAGAATTTCTTCCAGCTTCTCCTTTGGGAAACAGGTACCCACAAARCATGTAGTTCTGGCTTTGGTCAGTAATGGAAGGACA